CTGTTCGTCAGTGTTGCTGATTACTTTGCCTTCCTTGTTTTTCACTGGTCGTTCTGGTTTACGATAGTTCCCGGCGAGCTTCTTTGTAGTTTCATACAATTGTCTCAAGTTTCCGTCTCTTGCAGCCTTTTCCGCCGTCGTTGCTAGATCTTCCACGTATTTTCGTTTGTCAGCTCTGATGCTCTTCTTCACTTCCCTGTTTGCTTCTGTGTATGCAGCTTGTGCGGTAACTTTCTCCGCTCTTGTTCGGCTGACATTGATTGCTGCTTTCTTGTTCCTCCTTTCTTCAATTTTTGCGAGAGTATCAACAGAGATCCATTCCTTATGATGCTGCTTCTTGCGACCAAGGACCTCCTGACATGTTGAAGTGATTGCCTCCTTAATCCCTTTCCAATTGTTCTCCAATGTTGTGTCCTCTCCATTATGTAGATCCTGTAAGGCCTGGAACCTATTGGTGAGGGCTATCTTGAATTCGTTGAGCTTGACAGTATCCCGAAGAAAGGCCGTATTAAACTTGTGTGATGTTGTCTGTCCCGTTGTCCAGTGCTTCTTTAGTTTCAGTTTCATTTTGGCGATTAGCAAATGGTGATCTGAGGCTACATCAGCTCCTCTCCTGGTTCTCACATCCTCCATAGTCCTTCTGAACGTTTTGTTGATACAGATATGATCAATCTGGTTTTGAGTAGTGTGATCCGGTGAAATCCATGTGGCTTTGTGAATGCGTTTGTGCGGGAATATTGTGCCACCGATGACCAGTTTGTTGAAGGCACATAGGTTTGCAAATCTCTCACAGTTTTCGTTTCTTTCTCCCAGTCCATGTCGTCCCATGATGTCTTCATATCCAGTGTTGTCCATTCCAACCTTGGCATTCAGGTCTCCCATAAGAATCGTCAAATCCTTTGGTGAACATTTATCGACGATTGACTGCAGCCTTTCGTAGAATTGATCTTTGTCGTCGTCATTGTAGTCGTTGGTAGGTGCATAACATTGGATGACGTTCATTGTAATGTCCTGTTTCTTTGTTTTGAAGGATGCTTTAATGATCCTGGGTCCATGAGATTCCCATCCTATTAGTGCCTTTTGTGCATGTTTGGACAGCATCAATGCAACTCCTTGTGTATGTGCAGCATTTTCCTCTTCATGACCAGAGTATAACAGCAGTTCCCCTGAAGCTAGTCTCAGTTGTCCTACTTGTGTCCAATGTGTTTCACTGATTCCAAGCACCTCGAGGTTGTATCTTCTCATTTCTGCCGCAACTTGAAATAGTCTTCCAGTCTCCCACAATGTACGAACGTTCCATGTACCTAAAAAACGGGTTGCTCTGGTTGTCAGAAGAGGCATCAGCCCCGTGACTTCCGAGGGAACTCGGCTTTCATCACGCGACGTCATAATTCTTCCTCCAACTCCCAGGGCAGAGTTAAAATGGTTTGAATTATTTTTTCTGGTTAGCGTTTTTTTGGCAAGTTAGTTTTTGACGGAATGGGGTCGCCAACCCCATGTCCAACCCTCCTCCTTTACCCGGGCTTGGGACCGGCAGTAGCCCCGAAGGTTCTACTGGCGCAGTATTATGGGCAGTTAATAATATTAAGCGATTAACCCAACCTCGATAGCTGCACTAGAGTACAAACCAGTACCGAAATTTACTTTAAACACACAATTATTGATACAAAGGAGCACCAAAATATTTAAGCGCCACATAAATTATTGATTAGTGCGTGAACTAGAATACTGCTCAAATGCCCAAACCGAAGCACCTAGTTTCATAGAGAGCCACTACTCGAGTGTTCGACACAGAAATCTAATCCATAAGACAGTGGACAACGCCAGGAGTCGCAGTCCCGTGCTAGTCGGTCACTAATAACAATAGGTCCATAAGCCACTTCTTTCATCCGGAACCTAGAACCCATAACGACCATTGATTTAGAATCAGGGTTTCACAACTCGCCTAGACAGGTTTTCGTGGCCACCAACACGGTTTAAACAACGGACACTCGTTCTTCATCCTCATTTTCGTTACAAGCACTTTTGCTACGAGAAGGCAGTAAGCAGAACTTCCCTGTCAGCAGCTATAATACACTCGTTGTCTTATGAAAGCTATTCGAGAGGGATAAAGAACTCTTCCTACTCTCGACCGTATCAGGGCATTTCGAGGTACTCATTGTCCTTCAGAACAATATCAACAGCACAAGCCTCCAGCAAAAGTAAGTTAACCAGATTTTCTCACCTAAAACTCAGAGCCTGTCCTGTTGACTAGTCTAGGCAAATGCAAATCTGAGCCTTGTGCTTTTTATCCACGAAGAACAATGAAGAAAGCTTCATAATTCAACTAACCAGCTTAGAGAACAAAGCCCACCCCCCCCTCACTCCGATGAAACCTGAACTACAAATCCTCTCAATCAATTTGAGAAGACAACTAATATAAATACTACTAAGTAGTAGTAGAAAGTTTCGACGGGAAAAAAAACACAAACAGTTCACCTCTCTCTAATGAATGATTCTTAAAGATGTCAAAAATAGACCAACAAAAGAAAAGACAGATTGAATTTTCATTGATCATGAGTACTGTATGAAAATACCATACACGTTTCACTACTCGATCGATTATTTATCATTCAGCCAGTCAAACAACAACTGCTCTAATTAATAATAATCGTTTCAAGAAGAAACAAAAAAACGTTTGCAATTTTGCACACACACACGTGATTGGTAGTTTCACTGACAAAAACAATATTTTCAATCAAATTAACACTGAGAATAGAAGACATTCTATCGAAATTCATATTCTAGTTTAATTTGGAAGAAAAAAATAGCACACACACAGACACGCACACACACAAACAAACAACTGAATAATAACTAAAACGTAATATCTATGTATGTATGTATGTGCACAGAGTTAACGAATTGTGCATTGAATTTGAATTATGCAAAACATGTAGAGAAAATGCTTTCGAGCGAAATGTGGCCTCTTTTATATTACAGAGAAATATGTGTCAAGGTTTGGTATTTCAGTACTTAAGCGATCAATACACGTATGAGTTTTAAATTTGTACAATCAATCGATGAAGATGATAATGGTGATTGTATTCTTTTAAAGAGTCAGAATGACATAATGTATAAGCACCCTGGAACGGTTGAGAGTAGAGACAAGGTCTCTTGACCTCTTAAAAATGCTTTCATTATAGGTCAAACATTGAAGAGAAAAACCAAATGTTCGGAACTTTAAACAGATGAACGAATACGGAGGATTTAAGTCAGTCAGTTACAACGTAGAACTTCGTACGTATGAAAATTAATTCAAGGTTGTCATACCACATTAACACAGAGACGCAATTGTCGCTTCAAATGCCATATTGGTAGAGATAAGAGAATTGTTAGCAGTAATGGAGAAAATTAGGGTTCGAAGATATCACTCAAGAAGTATAATTCAGTGAGATAAATTCAGAAACCGAAAGATAGAGGTGGTGAGGAATTAAGAAGACTAGAACTTGAGGGTCGATAAAGGATAGATGCACCTGTATCATTGCAAACAGTATTTGAGCCATGTCATTCAGTGGCTCTAACCATCGATTGCTAACATCTCGCGAGCCCCAACCAGGTTGTCGACACCTACCAATATGACTCAGTCCACTTGTCAGTGACTTCATGTTTAGGTTTGGCCGCTCCTAGCTTTCTTTCAACCTACTCCCCTATACCAAAAAACCTACCTAACCACCTCAATCGATGAGGTTTCAATACTTCATCTATTGATTTGCCATTCCTACTTTGATACGGAGGATCTACCCTAAGGGAGTTGAAAAACCCTGATTCCAAATCAGTGGACTCCATGATCCTGAAGAAACAAGTGGCCTACGAACATATTGTTGGTGGCCGACTACCATGAGACGTCATTTCCTGACGTTGCTCTAATGCCTTATTGATGAATTAAATAAACAGTGAATGAATTTCAGAAATCAAGAACTAAAGGAAAACAAAGCATGAACACAGTCTACACCACTGCAGCCATTTCTGTAAAATGTTATCTTATGATGGCTTACTAGTTAAAATGTTGCAGCTCGTAAATTCGTATTCCGTTTTAGCTATTTTGATTATAAATATAAATATGATTCACTCATTCACTAGGTACTTGGTTATGCGACATAGTCTAGATATGAATTTGAATGATAGTATTCGGTTATCCGAAACGAAATAAAAATTGATAACGAAAAGCGAAAAACCGGCAATTTAAACGGGTTAGCGGAGGATTCATCTAGGGGAGTTGAAAAACCCTGAACCCTGAACCGAAGTGGGTGGTGCTCTTGAGGGCCACATAACAAGCCTTTCGACTTGGAAATCTAGTTCACAAGGCACTAGGAGCAACGTCAGGAGATGCAGTCTTATGATAGACAGTCATTTCTTCCACCAGGATCCTGGAGTCGATATCCACGATTAATTCGGAATCTGAGTTTCCCAACCACCCTGACTAGATCCAACGTGCCCACCAACCCGATCGAAGCAACGGACACCGGCTTTTCGTCCTCTCAATTTCATAAACAATGCTTTCGTCTTGGAGAATGTAATCTCTTTTTGCTACTACATATGGTGTTACAGACATGAACCGATGCGTATATCATACATGCCAGAGGTTCTACATTGCTTATGACTCTAGCTAACCGAAATCACTACTTTACAGTATCATCATCACTGATCAATATCCTGTTGAAAAGACGTAGATTATCATAACTTAATAAATAACCTAATCATTTACAGTTTAACAATCCAGGTAAACTATGTTAAGGTTGACCATGCCAAATATAATATTCATATGATCACTTAAAATGAGTTAATCTGGCTAACAAAACCAACTACTCAACTAACAAGCTGTCAAATACACAATTCTTTTTCTGTCAACAATAAAGCAACTAGAAATGTCCTTTCCTAAACACACGCCTTCACCCACCACTCGCCCCCCCCCCACCAAATTCTATATAAGCAAAAAAAATAAAAAGATAAAAACTAACTTTGACTAACTCCATCCAACGATCCAGCTCGCTGGACAGTCATTACACCGCCAATTGAATCATGTTTAATGGATCGATGAGAGAAACATTTTAGTAGATTTCTTGTTAAACTACCAGATCGCTTTTTCTTATTGGTATCTATTTATTAAACACCAGTGGAAGAGGAAAAACATACAACACAACATATAATCAACAAGAGATTTGATGAAGTGAGAGGTAATTTTTAAGAACTAAATGCATGACAGTAACGAAATAGATTGCTAAGAGCTTAAAACTGTCTAGCTGTTTAGTCAACAAAGCATAGATAAAAGTGTAAAGATAAAAAAAGGTGACCAAGATAACATTTTTTTTTAAAAGTAAATATTTACTTAATAACCCCTTTAACGGTTATCTGATTCGGTCTTATTATGTTTAATTTTCTTTAAATGTTCGTCTACATAAAGAGTTGTTGATTTAAGCTTAATAATTAATTATCTTCTGATGACAAGACAAGCCGTCAGCTAGAATTCTTAAGGTTAACGGAAAAAAAAAGGAAGGCGAAGAAACACATTATGCCCAGAAATGGAGATAGATATGAGTCAGTCAGTCAGATGCAACATAGAACTTCGTACGTAAGTACATCAGTTCATGTCACCATACCACATCAGCACAGAGATATAATTGTTAATTCAAATCCAATTGTAGAAGAGGTAGTAAGGGTATTAGAAGTAATCGGAGAGGTTAGGATTAGAAGATATTATTCAAGAAGTATGATTTAATGAGAAAAGTTTAGAAAGTCAAAAGCTAGAGGTGTTGAAGAATCCAGAAGATTAAGATTTGAGAGAGCACAGAGAATAAATACACCGGAGCCATTGCGAACGATTTTGAGCCATGTCATTCAAGGTCTCAAAACATCGATTATTATCATCTCGCGGACCCCAACCAGGTAGTCGACAACTACCGACATGGCTAAGTCCACTCGTCAATGATTTCATGGATTTCTGCCATGTTTTGGTTTGGCCGCCCCTAACTTTCTTCCAACCTACTCCTACACTACAAAACAAAGCTCGTCGAGGCAGTCGGTGGTTAGGCATACGCAGCACATGTCCCGAACACCTCAACTGATGAAGTTTCATTACTTGATCTAAGATAGATATGAGGAGAATGATCAGCATTTAGACAGAACTAGAAAGGAACACACAGGACAAAATAGGCTGGAGAATGATGGTCAGTGGCCTAGGTTTCATTGAGGATATAACAGGTGTAAGTTATTACTCATTGAAACAAAAATTAACCATTCAGACAGATACACGTATCAATCTTGCTTCACTTTAGCTACTAGAATCTTTCAGATAAACATGTTTGTTTTTCCATGAACTTTGTGATCATTTCTTATTTCTTATTTCTGAATTGAGCTTTACTCGATTGATTAGTAATTTCAGTGATTAGGCTTCCACTTTCAAAAAAAAATCCGGTTTCTATGAGTTTTTTTGTGCGTGTTCCTTTCTAGAATATTCATCATGACTCTTCGCACTGAGTTGGCACACTCGCCTAATTCACTTCACTTCGCTTTGCTTTTACGCTTTGTATTCTCATGTTTATCTGCGTGAACGATTGCATCAAATAAACTAATCCAAATGAATCCCTATCTGGCTTCTTATTACCACTGTCTCACAAACAGAGTTCGCCTAAGCAGGAAATAGGGAAATTGAAGGGAAGATTTAATTTCATCGCATACTCGATCATTCGTCCAAACTGAAGTCAGGCAAACTAAACCCGTTACATATATATGAATGGCAATCTGAATTCAATATCTCAATAGATCACATGTTATTTAAAATCCTTTGAAGTAAAACGACACAATACTTAGTCCGAGTACCGATATATGCATCAATAGTGGGGGGAACACAATATACACCTGGTTGCGGACAAATAACCAAATAGAGAAAAAGAACACCATGTGCATCCCACAGTTAACCATAATTTATCTAATACATATGGACGACAATAATATTAATCCATTGATAGCGATTATCTTTCACTTTAATTTATACACCCAAAAGTCACACCCAATCTTAATCACAAATTTTTCTGATAGATAAATTATGCCTACTTATTTACTTGATTTGTAATGATTAATATCTGTGTTTTAAAGCTTTACTGTAAGCAGTTTGAGGAGAATCGATAGATGAATGATTATTATTATTTGCATTACGGGGTTGTGAAGATTGTTAAGTTACACATTTTTGAAACCATGAATCGATCAATGTTAGACCACCATTAGAAACCTGGAAGCACTGAAAGACGGCCGTTTCGTCCTGATATGGGACTCATCATTGGCAGTGCGCATCCACGACTCCTGAACCTAGCAGTCATTCGAACCCAGGACCTTCGGTATTGTAGGCGAACACCTGCCTAACCATCGGACCACTGAGCCGGTATCTAACGGTGTTAATGTCTAACTTCGATCAATTCACGGAGTTGCGCAACCTCATACACAGTCTTCGGTAGTAGTTACTGTCTACACCCGAACAGGTTGAACTTCACTGGTCACGTCTTCCCACTAGAACTCAGAGAAGATTCCTCACGAAGCTAGTCACTAGTGAGCACAGGTAATTTGCACTACGGGGTTGTGAAGATTGTTAGGTTCTTTTTGAAACCATGAATCGATCAATGTTATTATTATTATTATTATTATTATTACTATTAATTCATACAACTTACCAGTAGTAGTGGAATTAGACAGACCAATAGGCATATCCATCAGCGTATTACTCCTGATATTCATATCTAGTGAATTATTTCTTAATGTTTCACTACTATTCGAACTGATACCAGCAGTCAAGGACATTTTATGATTAGGATTATTATTAGTAGTAGCAGTAGTAGCAACAGTAGTAGTATCATAATTTATGTTATTATTCATGGTAGAACTATTGTTACCCATATCCCAAGGGGATTGATTTATCGATCCGGAATTGGGAATACACGATAATGTGTTATTGTTGCTGTTGTTGGCGGTGGCGGCGGCAGTGGCGGTGTGTGGATACGGTGTTGAACCGATCACTGTAACTTTACCAACAAAATTCACACGTTTCAATCGTGTTCTCTGACGTCGTTCAATACGTTGACAACTAGGAATTATACCGAGTCCACTAGTAGATGAAATTAATGAGGTTGATTGTTGTTGTTGTGTAATGCCATTCATAGTACTATTATTATTACTACTACTACTGTTATTATTATCAGTATTGTTGATAGCATGACAGTTTGTTGTTGGTTGCATTGCATTTATATGATTCACATTTTCAAAATCCGATATAGAAGAAATTCGTTTAGCTTGCCACCATTCACGATCACTAGCATTGACAACGTGTAAAATATCACCATGTTGAAATTGTAGACCCTGTTTGTTTTTTCAAACATAAAAACAATAACAACAATAGGTGAAATGTATACAATAAAGTTAACATGGGAAAAGAAAACACACATTATCATCATCAACATCATTCTTTAAAGGCATGTATATGTGAAAAAGAATGAAAGAACAGATTATTTGTGGTAGGAATCTCTCTATACAGTTGTCAGTCAGTCAGTCAGTCAGTTGCAACGTAGAACTTCGTACGGATGTACATCAGTTTAGGTTGTCATACCACATTAGCACAGAGACGCAAATGTCAAATCAAATCCCATAGTGATAAAGATAGCAAAGGTATTAATGGTAATGAAGAAGACTAGGGTTTCAAGATATGATTCAAGAAGTATAATTCAGTGAGATAAGGTTAGAAAGATAAAGGTAGGGGTGCTGACGAATCCAGAAGACCAGGATTTGAGAGCGCACAACGAATGAATGCACTTGCGCCATTGCAAACGATTTTGAGCCATGTCGTACAAGGTCTCTAACCAATTGTGACTTTCATCTCGCGGACCACAACCAGGTAGCCTAAAACCAGCTACTCAAGGTCTGAGGGCGAAGTCGTACTGCTGACTGCAGAGAGGTGTGACAGCGGTAAGGTGTTTCGCTCGGACAACCAGTATCTGCAACGATGCTGCCTTTTCACAAGGAAGGAAAGGTTGGAAAAGGTCGACCGTAAAAATGTCACACCTCACCCTACCTCACAGATTTCCGTCTCCGGTGGTAAGTGTGCCCACTAAGGGCTTTTGAGAGCGGAGCTAATACTTAAAAAACCATTAATAAAAAGTTCGTGCGTGACCGGCCTGAAGCAGTTGTCCTTTGAGCTCTGCGGTCACACTCCCAGGTCGTTAAGACCAACGCTAATCTACCTTCCTTTTCAGGTTCCTCAAGAAACAACCTTCCACGGTGTGGGCTGCCGGGAAGTGACAACCACCCTCATACCCGTAATAGCACACGATACAGTTGTATTTCGATGTATTTAGTGCACCCGTGTCAATATGTGTCAGTTACCCCAAAAGAGAATATAAATCAATAATCTATGCAAGGGAGAGAGTAGTATTAACTCACGATCGACCATCAGACAACACTGGTTATCGAGTTCAATCTTATCAGTCAGCTTGCTGGACTGAACTAGTACATGTGGATACTTTCTCAGCACTACTCCTAGGTACACGATCAAATGACAGGTTAAAAAATACTTTTATAAAAAATGTTCAGTAACTATACAGATTCATACAAATGATATATACATAAATCATATATTAATATCAGCCATACCACATTAGCGCAGAAAGATGGAATTATCAATTCAGATCGCATACTAGTACAGGAAGCAACAATATTAGCGGTAATCGAAAAGTTTAGGGATCGAAGATGAGATACGAGTATATCCCAGTGAAATAAATTTGAGGAGGAAGATAAGGGTAATGAGGAATTCAGAAGATTAGAATTTAAGAGACAATGAAGAATGAATGCATCTACATGACTGCAAAGGATTTTGAGCTATGTCATTCAAAGTCTCTAACGATTGGTTACTATTGTCCCGTAGACCCCAACTAGGAAGTCTATATCTACCAACATGGATCAGTCCACTTGTCAGCGACGTCATGGATTGGTGCCATGATTTGCTTTGGCCGCCTCTAGCTTTTTCTCAGCTTCTCCCTACACCACAATACATAGCTCGTCGATGCAGTCGGTGGTTGGGCATAAATAACACATGTCCTAACCACCTTGACTGACGACAATCCACTACTTCAATTAATTTGCCATCCTTCCCTATTACTCGTTTCCTAACAATACCAATGGTTACTCGATGGCCCCGGAGTTTACAGGTAATGATTTGAAGATACCTATGATCGAATACTAGTAACCTAAAAATATCCTCGCCTCTAAGGAGTTATCTTTATATTATATTAATATAATATATATTATATTAATTATATATATATATATATATATATATAACTATATTATATTAATATAGTTAAAAACAAACGTCGTCACAAAAATTAGGGGTTTTTAAAAGGACTGACTACTGACAGTCAGTCCTACTATGATTAAAAAAGTGATTTGTATTGTTACTGAACATTTTCTACATAAACAAACCTACAAGATACTGCTATCAATTTGAAAATATCAAAAAAGTTTGATGGTGAACAGAATGTGATCTAGTGCTAGGCAGTTTTCGATTCTTAACTGAGTACAATATAGAAGGCTACTGTTTTCGGTCACGGATTGGACAGTACAAATATATTGATCATGAGAAAAAGATCATTCATAAATAGATAGAAAACGAGATTGTTGTCTTTCATCTGAAAGCACGAATCGATTATTGATTCCATATGAAAAGCAACAATATGAATATCATAAAATATGCTGACTAGCGACCAGTATCGTAAGGATATTCTCGGAGTTCTAGAGAGAAACCGTGACCAATCGGAGTTCAACCTTGTTGGGAGTGGGCAGTTACTACCGAGGACAATGCGTGGGGGTTGCGCAAAATCTTTAGATTGATCAAGGTTAAGCGTCTACACTATTATGTATCGGATCAGTGGTCTAGAGATTAGGCGTTAGAGCGCGAAACCGAAGATCCTGGGTTCGATTCCCGCGAGAGATTGTCGTGGATCTACATTGTTGATGAGTCCTGTACTAAGACGGAACCGCTGTCTAGTGCTTCCAGGGTTTTAGTTGCGGTCTAAAAATGACCGATTCGTGATTTCAGAAGAAAAAAGTATTAACTCTACATTTAAATGATAATGTATACTAGGTAAACAATGTAGTCCTATGCATAAACTAAAAGTTATTTAACTACAATTAAGAAGTAACAATTTACGCATTTAGTCAGTGAAGTAGATTTTCTTTTTTACACGTAAATTTATCACTGTTATATGATATGAATTCTACATCAACTTCATCGATTACAAGAAAGCATTCGATAGTGTGGATAGGAAAACACTATGGAGGCCTCACCGACACTACGGTGTGCTCGAGAAAGTAGTTAACATCATACGGAATTCTTATGATGGATTCAACTGCAAAATCGTGCACGGAGGACAGCTAACAGACTCTTTCGAGGTGAAGACCGGTGTCAGGCAAGGTTGCTTACTCTCACCCTTTCTCTTTCTCCTGGTCATCGACTGGATTATGAAGACGTCAACATCTGGAGGGAGCACGGTATCAACTGGACAGTTAGGACGCAGCTGGACGATCTGGACTTCGCAGATGATCTGGCTCTTTTATCGCACACTCAACAACAAATGCAAGAGAAGACGACCAGTGTAGCAGCAGCCTCTGCAGCAGTAGGTCTCAACATACATAAAGGAAAAAGCAAAATTCTCCAATGCAACACAACATGCACCAACCAAATCACTCTTGATGGAGATGCCTTGGAGGAAGTTAACACCTTTAAATATCTGGGCAGCATCATCGACGAGAAAGCTGGATCCGATGCACATGTGAGGGTGCGGATCGGCAAAGCGAGGGCTGCATTTCTACAGTTGAAAAATATCTGCAACTCCAAACAACTTTCAACCAAAACTAAAATAAGGATTTTTAATACAAATGTCAAGACAGTTCTACTGTATGGAGCGGAAACATGGAGAACTACGAAAGGCATCATCCAGAAGATACAAGTGTTTATTAACAGTTGTCTACGCAAAATACTTCGGATTCGTTGGCCAGACTCCATCAGCACCAACTTACTGTGGGAGAGAACAAACGAGATTCCAGTGGAGGAAGAAATCAGGAAGAAGCGGTGCAAGTGGATAGGACACACAGTGAGAAAAGCACCTAACTGCGTCACAAGACAAGCCATCACTTGGAACCCTCAAGACAAAAGGAAAAGAGGAAGGCCAAGGAATACATTACGCCGTGAAATAGAGAAACACATGAGAAGAATGAACGAAAACTGGAAAGAAGTGGAAAGGGAAGCCCAGGACAGAGTTGGTTGGAGAAAACTGGTGGGCGGCCTATGCTCCACTGGGGGTAACAGAGTGATAGAAATTAAAATTTCCGGATATGAAATCTGTGTTTATTTGAAGTCACAAAGATGAAACAATCAACTCATGTCAATAGGAATCGAATAATACTACATTCTCATTCATCACTAACATAGTACAGACAACTATTGTAAGTAATCGATCATGCTTATAGTTGAAGTCTCGATTTACGGGTCATTATCAGAGTCATATATGTATGTATACACCAATAATTTGTGTACTTCATTATTCGATCTCGCTAATTACTACTTCTTCGTTATCTATATTTTGCTCAGTCTTCTCATCACATAACTCGTTCGACAAACATACAGAAAATAAGTGTATCCAAAACATACATTGTAAATCGTAACAGTCACAGCTGCACTATTTATACAACATACAACAAGATTTGGAAGAGTTTATCAATACTAATAAACTATAAACTTATTTACTAATATATATTACTTAACAATCAAACAGTAGTTCAAACTTCGTGAGATTCACAAAAATGTCATGTACATTTTTGGAACCTACATTTGTTCACACACATATATAGAGGTGTGTTTGCTTAATATTCTACACATTATGTGAATCCGACAACACAACACAACACAACACTTTATCGATTAAAAACAAACAATTTATGGTGTCTAAGTCAGGATTAGACTGCGATGCGACGCACGTGTTGTAACCGATTAAGGTACGGCACAATAAACGTACACTCGCACACACACACACACACACTATCTAAATATTTTTTTTTAAAAAGATAGCTACTATACACACATACCAAACTCTAATATTATTACCTATCATATATATATATTAATTCATTGGACTATAGATCATAATGTAAATTAGTGTGGTTTCTTGTATTCTCTTTTAATTATATATATACGATTGTATCAAACTGTGAAATTCAATCCAGTAGCCAACTTGATTATTTTATAATCATCAGTCATGATTATTTCACATACACAAACAGAAACACCATATAATTTTGTTAACATTCTT